GTGAGGGTGCAACTCTGAATTTGGACACAAACAGCAATACATGTCTGTATATCTCCTGATGTGTGAAGCCTCTCATCAGTACCTGGTTTGGTTATAATCTGCAGGCTGAGCTGCACTGTGCCGTCTGTCTTTACTCCCTGATCAAAGAGGCTGTGATCAGGGTGAAGCTAAAAAGAAGAACACAACAGATAAGCTGAATCAGAGGTGAAGACAGACACAACCAAACATGTTTTTGCAGATCAAAGGATGTCTACCAGACCCACATTACAAAGTTGAATTCTGTTTTTTGGCAACAAAAATTACAGAATAACACAGAGATCTTGATAGGCTCAATGTATGTATATTATTACCTGAATGTCCTGCAAGCAGATCTCATATTGATCCAGTGACATCTGGATACGAGGCTCCAAAAGTTTCTTCAGATTGCCAATGGGCTCATTGATGTCGATGTCTTGCTGAATCAAATCTGATGCAGTGATGGTATGCTCCTCAACACTGGAAGTAAAAGAAGCAAGGAGGGAAAAAATATAAATGTATAGTTGCTCCATGTGTGACAGTATGCACTTCAAATGACCACCACCTTGCTTACCCTTCCTCCAGGCACGCCTGTTTCTCCCGTTCATCGATCTCGATCTCTATCATCTCTTCTGATTCACTTTTAGCCATTGTGTTTTATGCAGAGCGAGCCAAGCTGTAGGAAAGTAATGACAGAGCTGCTTAACTGTAATTCATACATATTACAATGTGTTAACAGGACTAAAAACAATTACACTGTTAATGTTATTGGTTTACCACTTTCCAACATAACACAATCCAAAACTACCATAAACAAAAAACATAGTTTCAATACATCTGACAATATATTAACTGCTGTGGTGCTCAAACAATCACTAAATTAATCAACAATTTTATCAATCAACTGAACATTCATGTAATGTATCACTCAAAATGCCTTAAACCCAGACCGCTGTGGTAAGAACGCAGTTTTGATATGTGGTGTGCCCTCTATCGAGTGACCTCCTGGGATGCCCTGTGATGGGAAATTTAAACTTATGTAATAAAAATTAAACAGTAGATTAAACAATAATGAGTCTTAACTAATAAATGTTAGTCACAGCCATAAATGGTAAGTTGTAGATGTGTTTAAATCACTGTGTCTAACCCCAGCACTAACTCTGTCAACTTAAAACAGACCTTCTAGTTACATACCATGTGTAGGTAAAGCAAATAATACTCATAGTTAGACAATACATTTTATATACATAATAAAAGTATCGTTCTTTTCAAAGGCGACATCATCATTTCTTGTTTTGTTTGACCAACAGTCAAAAAAATACTCATTTCCTGTATTAATCCAGGAAATGATTGCATTTGAAATGACATCTCTTCCTCAAAAAAATCTATGAAACTACTTATTTTTGCTGCCCTTCTTCTCATAATGCCATTAAAAACCCTATAATTTCACGAAAGAGCACAGACACACCAGAGCTCATTCAGAAAACTAATTATTCTTCATTTATTATGCTGTTACTGCAAGAACAAACAACTAAAAACCATAAGAAAGTGTGAATAACTGATGTCTGAACAATAAAGAACACTTCGGCTCCTGTGTGTGTAACCTGTGTCAGTGTTTGATGGGTGCCTGATGTAAATATGAAGCAGCACTTTGGGGCTTTCTACCATAAAGGCCTTTGAGCCTCGACTCCTCATTGGTCGTCAGGGACAGTTCACTGACTGCTCCAACTGCTAACGTTAGCCAACTCGAGGGCGAGGCTTTGGCGTCTAAAGGCCGACCGATAGGCCATTAGTGAACAAAAATAGTGCTCCAACGTAAACGCACATCGCGCACACACGTTTTGCGAAGCACAGAAAACTCGGGTTAAAACTCGGGTTAAAACAGCGGGTTACACGTGTGGATGCGCTGGAGCTCGTGTGACAGTGGAGCAAGTTAGCTACAGTTTAACACGCGAATGCACCGCGAGGGGAGGCAGCCCATCACTCAACCGTTGGTCCCCGCGTTCTAAAGAACCGTTAAAATACCCTAGCAACGCTCCGCGCGTCATAACGGCGAACAATCTTTGTTATATCACACTTTAACTCTGCGCGGAGAAAACTTTTAAAACGGAAATAGAATAAACGGAAACAAAACAGCATAGGGCAAATGGAAAGGAGCCGGAAATCCTGGCTAAGGTTTACAGCGCTGCAAGACTTCCGAGAGCAGCCGCGATAAATACGATACAAGCTTCAGAGGAAAACTGCCACCGACGAGCGACTGCGGTGTCGCTGATATACCGAAATGTCGCCCGGTTAAACACAAACTGCAGCTACACAGAGAAGTATGGACTGAAAACCCGCTGTTTCTCTCTGGATGTATACATACTGTGTGTTGTTGGTGATCAGCGCCGCGGCAGCCTCTCTGCTAGCAGCCCAGCTAACACTGAACGGGCATATCCGATGTTGTCATACGAAGAAAAAACTAACTTTATCTCTATTTTTCAGAAGACGAGAAAGCAACGAGAGCAGCCGTCCCGGTCCCGGTAGCCAGCGTTAGTCTAGCTTTAGCTGTAAGTTGTCTGGTTAATGTTCAGAGTGTGTTTTCATTGCGGGAGGCAGTCGGCCGCTGCCCACTCAGCTAAATAGGAATCGACAACAGCTAGCGAGTGAGCTACAAAATAGCGGGAAGAGTCCGAGCCCGATAAAACAGGCCCCTCAACACGACCGCAACCGTGCACACTGTCTTCACAACAAGCACACTTATCTCCGAAATATCCATACCTCTTGAAATTCAGGCCTTGGGAGATGTTGCAATGTGTTCAACTGTGGTAGACAGGCAGCCAAAATTCACACACTCTCGACTCGTATCATGCAAGTTTTTGGTCAACACAGACTCCGGAGGGGCGGAGACTAACTGGAAAGACAGTTACCCTAAAACTTCTATGGAAATCACAAAACGTTTAGATTCCTGCGAGTCGTGTCTTTATTTTTTGGACTGGACTTGATGGACTTTATCATCATTTTGGATCGTGTGTGTCCAGCTCATTTAAAAGGTGTTTTGATTAAAAAATAGGCCTACGTGGTTTCCCATCAGCTTTACAGTCATGGTAGTCTTCCATTTAAGTTGGTGACCCAGACTCCAGTTGTTTCACAGACATTTAACTTTACCACGTATCTAATGTGCTGTGTTTCCTCTATTCATACTCCAGTTCTTTTTGTTGTTTTTTACATTTCTTGTGTTTTCCTACAAGCTGTTTAAGTGAGAAGATGAGTAAAGGTCACTGAGGGTCTGTGACACTAACCCAGCAGTTCAGCTATATCCTACTGCAATCAGCTATTTTAAATATTTGCAACATAGGGATTAGCCTGCTAGGGGACCCTGGGGCAAAAATGCCTCCCCTACATATTTCTCCCAACATATTTTGTTGTCACATGTTGAGTCCTACAACCCAGCTAGCTTTTCTTTATTTAAGAATATGCACCATGTAAGCATAACACAATAAAGGTATTAAACCTGCGTTTTGACACAAGCCCTCTCTACAAAACCCCAATACCAAGTAAAAACACAGGGCCACCTTAGGGCACTTCCATTTCAGTAATTGCCACACAGACAACCTGGTGGGGGGCAGCTGCCCTTTGTCCAGTTCTTAAACCAGCCTAGTTTGAAATACTCAGGTTTTTTGTATTTAAATGTGTTGGGTAAAGGTTATGTTATTATTATTATTATGAATGTACAAAACAAACATTCATTTCTCTTGATATACAGTAGCCTGACTCCTGAACTTATTGAATTGTAGGTATTTTGTGCTGTTATATTTCTGTTAATCTGCTATTAAATATAATCTGTCTACAGTATGTAGATGTGATGTAATTTTGTAAACAATTTACAGTCATGTTTCTTACTCTTGACTGAATGTTCTCAATTAAATCCACAAAAGTGTCAAGTTTACTAAATAAACTTATCTCAATACAATCAGAGTGGATTTGTTTTTGGTTCTAATAATTTGACAAATGGTTTGGAGATATAATTCATTTTCATGACATGTCAAAATGTTGTTCCTGGGGATTACTAGTGTTTGTATTTTGTTTTATTAATCATAATAAAGATTATATATAAAAAGATCTAAAGACCCTTTGGTTTTTATGGAACTGTGTATAATTCATGCCCAAGTACCTGAAGTTAGCTCAGTGGTCTTCTCAGTATAACATACACAATATTATTGTAAACTGTCTATTAGTACATTGTTTTGAACTCCCATAAAAAAGGCCTCTACATTCAATAAATAGTAGTATCCTAAGTGATTACTTTACCTTGAACAAGTCGTAACTAATAATGTACTGCATGATTGAACCGACTGTTTTGGAGGTATTAAAGCTGTTGAACTGATATTATAGTAGTATATTCATATTTATTAATGGGTGTTCATTGATGTACTCTGACTGTACAGTAAGTAGTGTGCTGTATGAAAGACGCTCTTATTTCGAAAGTCGTGGTTCAGACGGAAATGACCGGAATTGTGGAATATTTCCGGTTTGTATGTGTTTTCTTCAAAATAAAGACGGTAGTTTTTAAAGTAACGCAAAAAGACAAACGGAGAAGATATTGGAGAAATACTTTAACATTTTAGCCCCAGAATCTGCACATAAAACACATAAAACAGCCAATTACCAGTTTTCTCTTGTAACTTTATGGGTTTAATCGTAGCTTGAGGAAGATACAGACACAGACTCATTTTCATAGATTAATATTTTAATCACGTGAAAGTATCACTTTTAACTTTTGTCCCATCATTGTTTTCTTAAATAAATACAGTTCAAAGCAGTAAGTATTTACACTGTACAAGGTTTGGCTGACTTTGAGGGCCTTAGTATGTATTCACTGCAGTATAAATGATAATATGAGGATATAATAGGCTAACAGGGGTTATTGAGACGAACACCGCAAACAGCAGCAAACTACTGACTCTAAAACAAATACAGTTCAATAAACAACTTCCAGACACAGCGCCATACAGGCTAAACGCCTCAAAACGGTAACAGTGACATTATATTATAATAATATATAACAGTTACACGCTAACACACAGTGTGCAGGTTGTGCGGAGACTACACATTTATTGTGAAGGCGGGGGACCGGAAGTGTCTCACTGCTGCTGCTCGCTGCTCACAGGCGAGCCAAGATGGCAGAGTACCTGGCGTCCATTTTTGGGACAGAGAAAGATAAGTAAGTACTAAACGTTCATTTAATTCATTGTTAAAGACATTTTTCTTAACTAATTCATCTAAAGTCCGCTTCGACTGGCCACTCCGTATAGAGTGGTGTTCACAGTCTGTATCTGGTAACGTTACACTGGCTTTAGCAACTCACAGCTAACGCTAGCACGCTAGCTAACGTGAATGCCGCGCCGCCACTGTTGCCCTCCTACAACCACCGGAGGGGAGCGGGCATGGTCGGAGAAGAAGGAGAAGAAAAAACAGTCATAACGAGTTACTTTTTCTTAATTCAGATAAACTTGCTTTGCGAGTGAAGCTCGAGTTAAAGTGGTACATTAACTAGCAGCTAGCTTCGAGTTAGCTGCCGCCAGTTACTCTGAAACCCACAAAGTCTTTGTTACAGCGGGAAATACACGGAGACAGACACTAACTGAGCAGGCTTCTCTCTGTTTCATGAAGCAAGCACGTCGCCTCCCGCCCCCATTAATCCCATACGCGTTACTCGTCGTGTGGGTAAAATAATTCCCGGTAACGTTAATGAATGAGGTGGTGCAGGTGTCCCGTCCCGTCCCGTCGTTACACTCTTCTCACGTTGAACCCGTTTTATTCCCGCTGGTACCACCCGTCTTTCTCTTCGTAACGGCAGCTGTTGCTAGGCGACAGTTCATCCCGTACCCCGATTAAAATCTGCATTGTGAATTAAAAAACCCAGACACTGTATTAAACTTTTAAAAACTAACTATCTGACCGTGTTTAAAGTCGTTTATGTTGGTAGAGCCCCTGTTTAAACGACGGGTCTGTTTCTGTCTACCTCAACACCACTGTTTAGGTAAAATGGTATTAATTGTGAGTCACGTGAAACAAATAGTCGATTAATTGATTACTAATTGTAATCGATGTATTGTTTTAGTCGTTTTCCAGGTCAAAATACTGGTTCCAGATGTTTATTATGTGATGTTCTTGTTACATGTGGTAGTTATGAGTTTGGGCTGAAAACAAGCGATTTAAAGAAACCACCTCAGAGCTAGTTTCTGACATTTAATAGACTAAAACAATAACCAGATTAACCGAGAAAATAATCAGCAGATTAATCATGTTGAAAATAGGGGTTGGTTGCTGTTCTAGCAAAGTATTAGTGGGCACTAGGACAAGGTATCGGCTATAAGAAGGACCAATGTAGATATATAAATATATCTGAGACAGGATTTCCAACAAAACGTTGTGAAAGTTGCTGCTAAAACTTAATACAAATGTTTGTGAGTGTGTCAGAGTTCCCACCCTGCAGTGCCGACGCTCCCATAACTCATTGCATTGGAGCCATGTTGGAAAACGTGCTGTTTGTGTTTGTGGTGTCAGGAGATAATTGTCACTATCTGCAGAAAGAACTGGCACACAGCAAGATGTAGCTTTTCAAGTCCCATGAGAGCCGTTTTCTTTTTGTTCAAACACTCTGAGAGAATTGTATGTTTTAATTTAATGTTTAATGTTAATGTTTTAATGTTAACCTGATGTTTTCTTTCTTTCTTCGCAGGGTCAACTGTTCTTTTTATTTTAAAATTGGTGCCTGTCGACATGGCGACCGCTGTTCCAGATTACACAATAAGCCGACATTCAGCCAGGTAAGATCTTTATTTTTGTTTTGTTCCAAAATGTCCTCACATAGATGAAGTTTTGTTTTTCTTAAGTCAAGTAAAAATTATGGGGAGATTTAGGTCTGAAAGCTGTTCTCTTTGAGTTCTTCTAATACCGGACAGACACGGGGACGACACTCAGATATTGCATCCCAGTAATATGAACACACATTGTCTGCAGTTTGTATGTATTATATTGTTTCCTTAGCTCACATGCATTAGTGGATGAACACTATTTAACTGTGCTGCCAAACCATATCAGTGCAGACAGCCTTTTGTTGTGTATCATGTTACATCATAGAGACCAACAGATAGTATACGATGACAAATCTAGTGATGAAAACACAGTGGGGTTAATTATCTATCATTAAAACAGTAGAGCAGTAGTTAGCAGGGTTGCAAAATACATTTTTATTACATCTTTGTCTGAATTGTTTACTTCACAATGGCTATTTTGTTCATTACCAAAAAGCAGGTTCAGTACCCTAATGAAAACAAAATGAACTTGTTTTGTTTCAGACAATTGCCCTCCTGAACATTTACAGGAACCCTCAGAACAGTGCCCAGTCTGCTGATGGCCTGACCTGTAAGTGTTCGATCCTGTGACCCGCACAAATGTCTTCTCTGATCATACACCCATGTGTTTTCTGTCCTCCATCACCCCCAGTTATGTTTTGAATAGACAAATGTGCCACACAGAATACATTTCAGAAATTCAAAATGATGTTTAATTGTTTTTATTGTCCTGTTATTCTCTCTTATAACCACTAGGTGCCATCAGTGACATGGAGATGCAGGAGCACTATGATGAGTTTTTTGAGGTAATTCATGCCATTCTGAATATACTCTCTTGATACTTGTTGGTATATGTTAAATAACGTTCTATGTACCAGCGCTGTGTGCAGGTTGTTCATTCAAAAGAGAAACAGTGTTTTGTGTGCCTAGGACTTTTTTTGTCCCCTTTCTGCAGTAGCATCAGAATATGTCTTGAGTATCGTTTTCTCATACTAGTATTGTTTCAGAGTTAAAACTTCTGGTATCATGACTGTAAGCTGACCTCATCACTCTGCTGCTGGTACATTTGAACTTCTTTTGAGAAAATAATTCAAGAATCTTTCCTCATAATCTGCTAAAACTGTACAATATGTAACTGTTGATGGTATGATGATGATAACTGGGACATTTAATACATTCTTATAAATACTTTCTGTTAAGTTAATCAATGGAATAATACACGGCACAAAAAGATGATCAAAAGTTGAAGGTGTTGTTAGTTAAAGGAACAGTTTGACATTAGTGCCTATTCGCTTTCTGGTGGAGAATTAGATGAGAAGATTGAAAAAAACACGACATCACATTTTTCTCTCCCATCCTTGCAGGAGGTCTTCACAGAGATGGAAGAGAAGTACGGAGAGGTGGAGGAAATGAACGTATGCGACAACCTCGGGGACCACCTAGTAGGAAATGTGTATGTCAAGGTGGGTGTCGCGTCTAAAAGCAACCAGTGTTACCAGAACTGTATGATACGCTTTTAAGTTTTTGACCCACAGCCGGTGACTTTTGCCTAAACCTGCCCTCTCTCTGTCTCCTCGTGGTCATTGTAGTTCCGTTACGAAGAAGATGCCGAGAAGGCCGTGATAGACCTGAATAATCGGTGGTTTAATGGACAGCCCATCCATGCTGAGCTCTCTCCCGTCACAGACTTCAGAGAAGCCTGCTGTCGCCAATATGAAATGGGGTGAGTGCTATGTGATAGGAAAGAGCTTATTAACTTCACCTCTAACTTTAGATTAAAAACATCTCTCTTTAAGGAATGTCCTTCACAAGACAGCACAGTGAACATACAACATAGAGGTTTGGAAACATATAACACAGACTTACTTAATCAGATGAAATGTAAGGAGATTAATCAATAAACCAATAACAGATTATGGGAGGGCACGGTTAAGAGACATTGAAACACAGGCATTCATTAAAGAATGTTTTAAAAAGCCATAAAACTACAGTAATATTTATTGTCTCCTCCTCAAACACTGTATATATGAACAATATATCTTTGTTGATTTACAGGTTCCAACCTAAATCTTTTGTTCAAAGTCTCTATCTGTTTATACAGTAGGTCGCACTTTGTTTTTAAGGCAACACCATGTAAGACTTGCTATTAGTTGTGTTTTGATGCCCTCAGTTGCAATAGCACTGTTGTAAATATGGACTGAATGGTGTTTGTCACTGATGCAATGCTGTCTTACATTTCTCTGCTCTAACTGCTCCGAGTTGCCCTATCTCCATAGGGAATGCACTCGTGGTGGCTTCTGCAACTTCATGCATCTGAAGCCCATCTCGCGTGAGCTGAGGAGAGAGCTCTATGGGCGTCGGAGGAAGAGGTACAAACATACATGTTACCTTCACATTCAGGCACTTCAGTAAACCAACCTGTGTAGTTGTTTTATAGCAATTCGTAACCGCTCCTCCTTCACTTCCACAGCCGTCATAGGTCCCGGTCTCGATCGAGAGAGAGGCGATCTCGCTCAAGGGACAGAGGTCGAGGAGGAGGAGGAGGAGGTGGAGGTGGAGGTGGAGGTGGAGGTGGCCGTGACCACGAGAGACGTCGCTCCAGAGACAGAGAGCGTTCAGGGCGATTCTGAACCACAAGCCATGACTACTTGTCCTTCCCTCCCCGTATCCATCCCCAGTCTTTTTTTAAGTTTGTACCCTTCCAGGTCCACTCGAGGACTAACTGAAAGGTACCTGATTTTGAAGCTGTGACAGCATTGATGAACTTGTTTGTCCTTGATTTCTGAAAATGACTTTCACCTCATTAAATTTAACATTTTTACTTAACGCGACTGACTCATGAATCTCTCTTGTTATTACAAGTTGTGATGGCAGCACTTCTTACTCTTCGCTGCCTCCTAATGATGGAATACAGTGAGAACTAAATGTACACACTAATGATTGGTAAACCTAACGTGTAGTGTCTTATTCAGGTAATTTCAGACTTCTGACTGAAGTTCACGGTCAAAAGAAAAGGAAAAACTCCCTGATAACATAACATTAGATACAGATAAAAAGAGTTTCTGGACTCTACTCTCACTGTCACTTAAAACAGAAGGCAGCAAAAAGATTAATTTCTGTTGGTCTTGGCACTGCTGTATTTTCTCGTTCATTTACAATGGACAAGAATGGATTGTGATTGTCCCCAGCTTTTTACTTTTACACACCTCTTGTGACTCAAGGTTTCACTTCTCATAGAGATGTACAACAGAAATTCTCCTGTGGCTATTAAGTATATAATATAATAACCTAAAATATACTTAAATCATTTAAATACATGAATATACATTTGCATTAATGCCATAAGAAGATATGAAAGTAAAACAACTGCTAAATAAACTTCTAAACTGCTATTTGTTCATCACTAAACTAATGTTTTGATAAATTGGGAGGGTTTGATGATGCCAAGGATAATTTTAAGTAATTAAGTACATTTAATACTTTAACGTATTGCCAATTTTTTTGAGTCTCGTGCTTCACCTTCAGATATTTACCTCTCCATTTCAGAGGTAAATATTGTTGTTTTTACTCCACTGTATGTATCTTACAGCTGTACCAATACTAATTTGAAATCAAAAGCTCATTGATGCACCATGGTAATGAACTGTAAGGAGGAGAAACAAGTCCATTGCCGGCCACAGAAAGCAAGCTAACAAAGATCAAAGCAATCATGCCTCTCTTGCTCTGGTAAAAACACTCGCAGGTGCATGCTGGTCCTATATCTGAGGTGCTGCCCAGTTCTTACAAAATAAAACAAAGCACTAGCAGTAATAAATACTATCTAAATAAAGAAAATACTCAAATAACTACCTCTTTGCCGCCCAACTAAACAGTATAAAGTGGTTTGAAATGAGCTCCGCCGTCACCAGCTACATCAAAAGATTAGTTAAAGTTAAAGATTCTGAAAGGTGACCCGATGCATTATGAGCTGTAGTAGAAGAAGTAGAAGTAAAAGTACCAGTACGGACCCCCACAGTGGATCACTGGAAGGGGTCATCAGACAATGATAGGGTAGAGAAGTAGAAAATAAGCTGCAGCATAAATTTGTATTCATTTTCACCTG